AGTTTTATGCAAAAGTTAAATCCACATGTACAAATATAGACATGTTTACAAATTGGCAGCATTCTGCTGTTGGAGCGTTTGATTCCAATATTATTTTCAAATTTTTTTAATATATGATCTGTGCATGGTACAATTTGAAATGGTACGAAATTATGGTACCTGAGACAAAATTTACAGATATAAAGAGCACATGAGCATTTAAGTCTGTTAAATCTGAGTGATGAATTTAAATGTTAGCTGCAGCAAATATATATTTGCATAGCTTAATCTAACTTAATTTGCTTTGGTAATATTAATTGGTAATATTAATCTAAGCTACACTTTATTACTTTATTGTATTATTACACAGTCTACAGTTATGAACTGTTACATATTATGCATTGTATGCATTACACATGGCGTGAGATGTTTATGGCACTAGCTATAATGAAGAATACCACTCCAAAGAATTATAGTCTAATCATTTTGACCAGATGCTGTGCAAATTTATAAAATTTGATGCCCTGACACTGCCATTCATGATTTTACCTGTTTTCTATATGCTAAATCCTTATCTGCATCACTAAAATCTTACTGGTGTTTTGAGTGGCAAGCTAATTAAAATAATATTTCAGTATGTGTAATAATTTCAATGTTGTTGAAAGTTGGTTTATGAAATGATTTTTGTAAGCTAAAGTACTGTTGTGGCCCAATGCGTTTTACACATATCATTTCTTGTGTTTATTCCTGTTAATATTGTATAGTCCTTATTTTGCCAGATCAAGTTGGGATCTGCAAAAACTGTTTATAACTGTAAATAAACTCACTTGAATGGTCAATGTTGTCTTTGAAACACATTTATTAGAAATAGAGAGAGGAAAACTGAGTGAGAGAGTGACAAACATGGTACTTTTGGAACACCGTTTATCAGTGTTACACGAAACACCTTCCATGACAGAAAGAAACAATGGACCATTTTCCCCTCATTATTTGGTTTTAGTCCCATAGCAGAATAATCTGTTATTTTTTTTTATTTACTTATTAGAACATTAATAAACAGACTAATACACAAGACTACTTTCTTGCAGGTAACTGTTTCAAACTTGAAAAAGGAAAAATGTGTTGTACAAGCACAAATTATGATGTTCTCGTGTTGTAGTAATCCATTTTACAAAAATAATTCCATTGCAGTATGAGTGTAAATTACATACTTTACAGTAAACAATTCATTGAATTTCATTATTCTTTCTAAAGGACTACTGCCTTTGGAATAATGTATTTGCATGATACCATTGATTAAACAAAAAAAGAGATATGTGAAGTCAATGCAAAAAAATGGAGGTCTATGCTTTTAAGAGTAGTTTAAACAGGTGCTACTAAATTGAGACCCTGATAAAAGTGTCTGCACACATATAATACACAAGAACATGTGAAACATTTGCCAGAATGCTAATATTGGCATCTAAGAATGAGCACAATACAGCTAATACTACAATTTAGTTCTGCATACATAAACATATAATCCAAAAACAAAACCATACATTCACTATATATATCAAATATCTATATAAATGTGTGCATCTGTAGTAAATTAGGGTGGAAATTCTGAATGTTAATAGTATTTTTTAAATTTCACTGTGGACTGAACAAGGGAAAATATACATGACTGTATTGTACAACACAGAATACTTCAAGTATGATGTACTGGAAATTGTGTGCACAAAAACTAACCAGCATTAGTGACTAACTGAAAGGCTTAAAACAGCTACTATAAAAATGCATAAGATGCCACCATGTGGTGTATTGCACAGTGGCTCACCATAGTCGTCTTACGTGTTTCTGAGAGATAAAATGATTCAATTGTGAATGTATCTGGGTTATTTAGCTTTTCCCAAGAGCAACACTACAAAGATGTCTAATGCAGTGTTACACAAGCAGCAGTGTTAAACAATAGATACATACTGTATGTAATTGTTCTTCTATGAATCCCGGATAACCAAAAGATAACCACAAGGTCACAAAGTGATGTATGACACATTATTTGGAATAAGTAATGCTGTCAGGCAGTAGTCCTTCCCTGAAACCATTTTGTCTTTAAATAAAAAGACAAAAAGACATGAGGAATAAATACACTAAAAAAATAACTAACCAAGGCAGAAGAGATAAGATGGGATGAGAGAAGGTTCTCTTAAGCTTTAAAGGACAGGAAACCTATAGTTCTGACCATAGTCACAAGCTGCTAAGTGAATAGCTCCATATGGTATACATGTGGTCTGATATGTGTAAGAAGGGGAAAAGAAAATGGGAAAAGTGTATTACAGCAGTACGTATTGCAAATACTGCATTATACATCACTTCGTGACATTGTTGGAAGGTCTCGGCATGCATGCACACATGCACAAGAAGGTGTCCAAGTGACTCTCATCTCTCCTGGATGTTAGGAGGGACGAAATAGAACTGATTACACCTGGAATGTTAGCCATTTCAGTAGACACTGGGAGTCAGTGTGTTACTCAAATTGACACTGGACAGATAATAATACGGTCCTCCAGCATAACACTGAGCACAAGGAACACAAAGTAGAGCATGAACATGGTGAAGCCCAGCATTTTATTCATCCTCCACTTGCAGACTGCGATGGAGATGATAACAAAGAGGAGCATGAGGAACAGCAGCACGATGGCACAGAAAAGTCCATTGCTGCTGACAGCCACAGGTGCCAGTCCATGGACAAAAGAGTACATTAACCAGGGCACTGGCAACCTGTAGACACAGGGGAATTCAACACAAATATGCATAATAACTCAGGATTACAATTCTGATCTTAAACATGAGAGCAGTTGTTATTATCCTAATAAGTTGTGCTAAATGGTGTTTCTTACAAAATTATTCATAGAATTTCATTTAAAGCTACAGGACATAATATTTTGGAACTTCTCCTACTCTGGTAGAAAAATTCTATATTGCGAGAAGAACCCATTTCATAAAATGGGTTGTGCAGCGTCATTCTACACCACATAATTATCTGATGGCTCTGAGAGGCAAGTAACACACATTCAATGGGAATTCAGGGCGGTATTACCATAGTTATGGAGAAATGTGCTTGCTCAGTAACTACAGCACCCTGAAGAATACACTTTTTACCTGTTATTGAAAATGTTATAATTTTTTTTTTTTGGCATTATCAGTTATCAGAGATTTTTCCACACTCCGATGCAATATACCAATTATTGGGCCAATGACTAGCACTGCCAACCTAGACGGCTGGGTTTCTCTCACTGTTTCACTGCTGAACCTGCTACATTAGCCACACTGGGTCTGGTGTCTGGTTACAACCATTCACCCCTCATTCTCTTCATAAAATGGGCTGTATTTTATCCAGATCTTTAAAGGCTATTTGGACTGACAGCTCAATTGTGCCAGGGCTTAGGGGCACACAATTTTGCTAGATTGACAGACCACAAGCAGGTCAGCCTGGGCCACATGCTTACTGTTGATACCTGCATTGTATGGTGGTCTAAGCAGACAAACTCTATGCCCAGATGTGCACTTTCCAAGCACTGAATGAAGATGCATTGATGACATGCTAGGAAGAGGTTATGATATTAGATTGCATATGGATAGTATTGGAATAAACACTGCAGATGTTGATCCCTCTGTGGGGGAGTTGCTCGACACATTGCAACCTAGGCCAGGGTATTGGTTGCCAAACAAATTTACACATGTTGCCAGGAGTGGTTAGCACAGTTTGCCTTATTGAATGGCTGCAAATGAACCCTACAAAATCTGCCCTGTGTACCAGAGATGCTTTTTGAACATGCTGCCAAAGGCACCCTGGAAAGGATAGTACAAGTCACAAAACTATCACGGGCAAAAAGACCAGCTACATGATGCCTTCAGGTTACCACAGCCCAGTTCACCATTCCAGTTCCCCCAAAAGCCTGTCAAGTTTGCATGAACGCTAGACATAGAATTATGCCCACAAGCCCCTAGCAAGCATCTCCCTTTGACCTCATGGGACAAGTTCTAAGAAGTGAACTACTTGGGTAGTAGCTATCAGATCAGATCAGTAGGTCCAGATGATAGTTTCACATGGATACAAACTCCAGCTCCACAAATCTCCATTTCTGATATTGATATCAGAGTTCCTCAACAAGATTGCTGCTCTGACCCAAGAAGTTCAAGCTTGGACAGAGTTGCAGTTGAAATTGAAATTGAATCCCACAGTTCAGTACAAAGGGTTCTACAACATAATTTATTGTTGTATGACAGTAATTTCCATCCACTTCAAGGAATTCAAAAGGACTGGCTCTCAATTTAGGAACTACTGTTTAAAAGCCACCCACTTATGCCGTACATGCCTTGGTGACTTACCCCACAGTGATATCAAATATGTTGCTGCCTACAGAGCTGGAAACAGCCATGTCTCCCAGGCCTTTGCGAGCTACAATCACACTGGTGATTAGGTCAGGGATGGATGTACCAGCTGCCAGAATGGTGAGACCCATTATCTCCTCTGAAATGCCAATGGTTTCACCCACCTTTGTGGAAAAAATACAAGTAAGACTCCACTGTGATGGATTCTTTGTTATGAATATTCCACGATATTAAATTCCATGTCACTGTTTTACTCATATTCCAGTATAAATGGAACCTAAACTAGAAGGCAAATGTGTATAAACTCACCTGATGCGCCCACCACACCATGAGATAGGAGAAAATAGCAATCCACACTATAGAACCCAGGAAGGTAATGACAAAGTACTTCCTGGATGCCTATAAAGGACAATGATCAGTGAGACAAACAGACCAGAAAACAGAGCTTCTTAACCTGTCTCAGGCCACTCTAAAGTATTACTTGATTTCAAGAATGCTCAAATCCAAATATTTAATAAGATTGCTAGCTAAAATTTAATGTTAACTGGAATATTCGTTTAAAATAGAGGTGTGCATCAAGACTGTGATCCTGCAGAACGTTGTGGGATTGGTTGATTTTTTTCATTAGGGAGGTCAAGTGTGGTTCACTGGAAGACTAGTGCTTAGGCCATGGCACTCTCACTGCCGGCAGCCCAGGTTGAATTCCTGGCTAGGGAACCAACCCCAGCACACTACAGTGCACTCCCAGTGCCAGTCCCAAGCCCAGATAAAACTGGGGAGGGTTGCGTCAGGAAGGGCATCCAGCATAAAAACTGTGCCAAATCAATTATGAGGACCAATGATCCATTGTGGCAACCCGTAATGGGAGCAGCTGAAAGAAGAAGAACAACAATTAACACAGGCGTCTGTTAGACATGACAAAGTGCTTGCATTCTGTGCTTCTGGTGCAAATTTGGATTCATTCATTTCATTCACCAATCCTCAGTAACTGCTTTATCCTGGTCAGGGTCACTGGGATTTAAATTATTTATGTGTTTATATTTTGGGAAGTAAAACCCACTAGATTCATTAAAAATATCCGGAGTGGGTACAAACAAAACTGCAGGAGCAGGATTGGTCAGAATTCCTTCAGGAGTGGGCAGGAGCAGGATGAAAAAAACAATTCCACACACACCTCTACTTTGAAACTCTAAACAGGGACTGCTAACAAAGCTATAAGCTGAAGCATTGCTTAACTGAAGTGGCTCAGTTTAAGGCATTATTTGGATTTACTGGGTTTCGGACATCCGGTACGGTGAGCCACAAAGGAAAGACAATGGGTAGAAGGAATAGGTATGTGGCTTGTTTCCGTCTGGTGTCTGGCCACTCCAAGGACAGAGGCTCATCTTTTTCCTCTCCATCTTCATCCTCCGTGCCTCCCTCTTCCTGATCTTCATCTTCATCATCACTGTCCTCATCACTGTCTTCCTCACTGTCATCATCACTGTCATCAGAGCCTTCCGATCCCTCTGAGCCCCCTCCTTCTCCTCCTGCTGCCTCCTTCTCCTCCTTCAGAAAGAGACAGAAAGAGAGAAACAAAGACAGAGCTGGAAGTTTAAATGGCTAATACACACTCACCGTCCACTTTAATAGAAACACCTATACATCTGCTAATTTATGCTGTTATCCAATGATTCAATCATGTGGCAGTAGCACAATGCATAAAATCAAGCAGATACAGGTCAATAGCTTCAGTTAATGTTCACATTAAACATCAGAATAGGAAAAAAGTGTGACCTCTGTGACTTTGACCATGGCATGGTTGTTGGTGCCAGATGGGCTGGTTTGTGGATTTCACACAGCAGTCTCTAGAGTTTGCACAGAATGGTGCAAAAAAGAAAAAACACTGAGTGAGTGACAGTTCTCTGGGTGGAAACGCCTTGTTGATAAGAGAAGTCATAGGAAAATGGCCAGACTGGTTCGAGCTTTCAGGAAGGATATAGATATTCGAATAATCACTGTTCAAACAACTGTTCTGAGATGCTTTTCTGCTCACCATGGTTGTAAAGAGTGCTTATTTGAGTTATTATAGACTTCCTGTCAGCTCAAACCAGTCTGGTCATCCTCCTCTGATCTCTCTCATCAATAAGGTGTTTCAGACTACTGACCCTCCACTCACAGGATGCTTTTTTTTGTTTGTTCTTGCACCATTCTGTGTAAACTCTAGAAACTATTGTGTGTGAAAATCCCAGAACATCAGCAGTTTCTGAAATACTCAAATCAGCCCATGCACAGAGATCACACTTTTTCCCCATTCTGATGTTTGATGAGAACATTCACTGAAGCCCTTGACCTGTATCTGCGTGATTTTATGTATTGTGCTGGTGCCACATAATTGAATGTTTGGATAACTGCATACATGAGCAGGTGCTCAGGTGTTCCTATTAAAGTGGATGGTGAATGTATATTATATAATGTCTCTGCTTCATCCCAGTTGTTTTGCCCACCTTCTGTCCCTCTGGCTTTTCCTTGGTGTCTGCCTTGTTAGATGGTGCGCCTGCTGGCTCTTTGGATTCGTTAGTCTCCTCTGTTTTACTATCATCACCTGTGAAGTTTTACCATCATATGAAGGCCAAACTCAAGAAAACAATTAATCTAAGCAGCCTGTGATTAATATACTTATATTTTCTTCGGCACAGTCAACTATTGATTTGTCACTGATGACATCACTGAATGACTCTCAGATCTAGTTGTTTTTTAAAGAAAGCAATAGATATTTCTACAGCCCTGTTTCCAAAAATGTCGGGACGCTGATTTGCAAATCACTGCATTCTGTTCTATTCACATTTTACACAGCGTCCCAACTTTTTTTGGAAATGGGGTTGTAGTGGAATAATATCATGATGTTATTTGGCAGCTTTTATCATTTGCAGTGATCCTGAGTCTCATACTTAATTCATGAAAATAAGCTCAATCATTATGATAGCCAATGTGTAAAGATCTTCTGCATTCTGAACAAACAGACATGGACTACAAAAACAAAGCTACTGGCAGAGTCCTCTCTGGCCACCTTTCATCCAGGTCCCAGCTGGTGTGCTGCTGTTTCTGCAAATGCCACATTAATCAGCAGTGTAAATAAGCAGCCGAGCTCACTTACTAGATCGACCAATGAAATTCAAACCTGTAGACAAACCTCTGCGCAACCACAAAAACACACTGTTTACTAGGACACTATGATAACATGGTGGAATACCGGAGCTCACCTTTGCCCGATTTTTCCTTCTCTTTGCCCTCTACTTTTCCCCTGGCCATGTTGTTCAAAATCTGAGCCTTGTCTTTAAACTTCACTGCAAACCAAAAGAAGTGAAATATACAGTCAGGTCTAGACTTAAGGCACCTAATAAAGGTAAGTAAAAAAAAGCTGAATGCAACAGCACAGATAATGTTATGTTTAACCCTTCTGTTCTGTTCTAATTAGTAATAATCTACATTTTGACATTAACCCAGGATAAAACTTTATAGCTAGATATAGTTATAGATAGGTTTTATAGCAATACAGTTAAAATTTCTTTATTTCACTGAACGTCTAAATGAATGAATGAACGTGTAATTGGAGCTGAAAGGAAGACAAACCGAAGAGCAAAAATACTCACAAATATTTTTTGTTTCAGATTTACAAACACCAAACAATCGCACAAACAAGGTGGCACAAATCACAGTGCTTTATTACACCTTGTCATTAGTTGGACATAATGTCTGTAATATGAATATCATTGCATGGTTGCTCATGATTGTCTTTTAGACTCAGCCAAGAACAGTTTTATGTTTCATTTTTAGTATTGTCACTTATAATTAAGCGATAGCTCACGAGCAAGAGTGCTGTTTTAGCGAATATCAGCATGGATGGGAATCCACAGCTGGATAGAGCATTGCTTGCTGCCATGCACCACACAGACTGACTGACAAACCGTAGTAAGTGTAGCAATGGGTTCAATGTAATGAACTATTGCTAGAGTTGGACATTTATGTAGCAAACAGGCAAGCGGAGTGATACAAACAGTGAAAGGCACCAGTGATGTTATGATAAATATCAGCACTCTTGGAACGTTTATCCACTCAAATTAGTGATCCGGAACTAACTGTTGTATAATGTTCATTTTGGGCCGAACAGAACATATAGGGTAAAACATTGGGAAAACATGGGGAAAATATGCTTTTATTGTAATAAATATAATATACAAATGACAACTACAGTGGATATAAAAACTCAACACACCCCTGTTAAAATGGCAGGTTTTTGTGATGTAAAAAAAAATAAAGCCAAGATAAATCATGTCAAGTGAAAACTCAAGTGAAAAACAAATAGAAACATTTTAGTGGGAAAAGAAGAAAAAACTTACAATAAACTGGTGAATTCCCCTTAACTAATACTTTATTAAAGCACCTTTTGCTTGCAGTTCAGCACTTAGCCATTTTGGGTAGTCATTTTGAGTATACAGACTTCCTGATTTGGCAATTTTATTCTACTCTTCCTTGCAAAAATGCTCTAGATCTATCAAATGACTAGGCGATCTCCTGCAATTTGATAGACAGATTTAATAGATAGATAGTTGTCATGCTGGAAGGTGAGGTTTTTCTTCACCTTCAGTTGTCTAAGAGAAGCCTGCAGGTTTTTGCCAAAATGGATGGCCAAAGAGTTCTACCTGGGTCTCATCAGATGATAACACATTTTGCCACATGGTTTAGGGTAATTTAGGTGGGCTTGGATATTTTTCTCGTGAGAAAGGGGCTTCTGTCTAGTCGCCCTTCCCCATAACCGAGACATGTGTAGAACTGTCACAAGTGGGAAGTGGCCAGTACTTGCCAGATCTTCCTGCAGCTCCTTTAATGTTGCTGCTGGTCTCTTGGCAGCCTCTCTGATAAGTTTTTGTCTTGTCTTTTTGTCATTTTTGGAGGGACATCCTGTTCTTAGTAATATTACTGTGGTGCCCCATTTTCTCCACTTGTTGCTGATGGCCTTCACAGTGCTCCATGATATGTCTAACGTTTCAAAAAGTTCTTTTGTAATCCTCTCCTGATTGATACTTTTTGACAATGAGATCCTGTAAATGCTTTGTAATCTCTTTACGGATCATGGCTTCAGCAGTTGGATGAACCGAAGATGTCAAAGAAAATCCTACAGAAACAGTTGATCTTTATTTGGGGTTCATCAGAATCGCATCATTCATGACGGGCGTATGATAATTACTTTTGCACATGAGTTTTAATGTGATTGATTAATGCTGAGCACAGTCACATGCCCCACTGTAAAAGAGTGTGCACACTTGTGCAACCAGGTTATTGTACGTTGTTTCTTTTTCTTCGTTTTCCTAAAACCTTTCTATTTGTTTTTCACTTGAATTTTGTTTATTGCTATATCACATCAAAGGTGGAAAAACATCTGACATGATTAATCTTAGTTTCTTTTTTTTAATCACAGAAACCTGCAATTTTAAAAAAGGGTGTGTAGACTTTTTATATTGACTATATATGTTTGAAACATACTGAATGTGTCAAAATTATTGGTGCATTAAAATGGCAATGAAATTCTGATCAAATCCCTCTTATGGACTAATTATTGGTTGCATCTATTTCCTCCTTCCATAATTTTTAGAAAAAGAATAAAACACAACAGGGCATGCTATTACAGGAAAATGCTGGGGTTGTGTGACAGGGCCAGACACTGTCCAATAACAGCA